GCTGTTAGTCCAGCTCCACACATGGTTGGTTATCGTCCCATCTATCCGAGTTTCATTCAGATAAAGGGGGACTCCAGTGGATACAAGCATTAAATACAAATCTGACACACATACCACTGAAACAATTTCCACTCGACTGGCAATGGCAAATTGGACATGTGTGGCCATAATGCACATTCGGCACATTAGAACGAACACCACATACACACCCCGAGGCACGGTGGTGGAAGGCTCATGAACTGGGCTCGTTTAGCAGCCACAGGACAAACTGTCACTTTACAGTTTTTGGTATGGTCTAGACTCAATTTTGTAGCAGAGCATTTCAAATCTGAGTCAAATCTGCAAATCTAATACTCAGCGAACAACACATTTAAGACAAGAGAGTGAAGGAAAAAAAAGAGTTGCGGTGATCTAATCAAAGACCAGACCAGTGTGGATACTCTAGGAACCAAAGAATAAATATCTGCATTTAGTTCGCTTTAAACTGAAACAAAATGGATGGATGAGAGGACCAAAACTCCATCATTTTGGTCTAACTTGTTGCCTCCAGGGGTGCTTCCAGAAGCCATTAAATTATGATTCCTTGATTTGATTTTCAAAAGTTTTTGCACCATTATTTTCTTGCGTTTTGACTCGGGTTTGGTTTGAAAAACAAAACAACGAAATGAGGAAATTTGTCAACCTGAATTTTTTATGTCCCGGTGTATAAAACCTAAGAAAAACAAGTATTTTTCTTCTTATTAGTTTATGAAAACTTCTAGTCAACACATGGGTCTGTTCCAAAATGTCCAGTTAAGTACATTAACTGACCCAAGAAAAAGAATAGAACAGGCCAGACAGCCATCTTGCAGACAGCGGGCATTTTTTTCCATGGACCATAGTCCACCATGCAGTGCACGGAATGAACGGTTTTACCAGTACCGGCTCGTATTACAGGTTGTTATCAAGACACAGATTCAGGATGCAGGTTCTCGTGAAGAGTTTGTAGTACTAACAAAAAATTTAGCTTACATTTTCTCAAATCATTGCTTGTATTTTTCAATTTGTGTTCCAGAACACACCGTATGCTGACCCTTTTTTGTTTAGTTTCAAAACAAGTTCAAATGTTTGCCCTAACGCTGGCAAAATAAAAACGTATGCTTTTCTAGCCATTTTTTCACAGTGACTTGTTATAGATTTATCAGTACTTCTCAAAATAAAATGATAAAAAAGGCTTTTGAAATTGTTCATCTCTGTGTCATAGATCTGCCACCATTAAAAGCGGTGTTTTCTTCAGAAGACTACAGACATGTCTTTATATGACACATTTGTTTTTGTTTTTAAGGAACACCTTTTATTTCCCTTTCCATTTATTCTCTGCTATTTTGGGCAAAATGCATGCACACGCTTTCATTTAAAGAGAGACAAACATCCCCTTGGTTATAGACCGATGTCAGAATCTCTCTGAGAAGATAAAATTGGAATTACAAAGCCATGTCAGTTTCTCACACGCAAAAAAAAATGCATGAAATTTTTCCTTTGACCTTCTGGAACTGTGCAGCACACATAAAGAACCACTTGGCTTTAAGTGCCGTGAGTTAGTCCATTACTATTTTTATATTGCTTCTTTGTTTTCCTCATGCTGCAGCTATTTTTTTTTTTTTTACCATTTGTCTCGGTGATAGAATAAAAATGAGCTTTTTTTATTTTCTAACTGTTTAAAAGGAAAGAAGGGGGTGGCACCATCCAGAAAATCCATACTCACAATGGAAAGCGGTGCGGAAAGCTTTAAGAAGAAAAAAGCAGAGTTAGCAGAAGTCAGACTCGGAGAAAAGCCTCTTAATTCCTCTGCCTGCCTTCTCCTTCTATCCCCTCTCTTTCGCCAGGTTCCCATGGCAGTGCCGTGTCTGCATGAGCACCTGACCTGTGGCAGCTCTCTGGACTGTGGGGGTGTTATCGGCAAGCCAAGCCAGATGCCCTCTCACTAGGTAGCCAGCTCCATGCTGCACCATCCCACACAATCTGTCCACTGGGCTCCTCACACAGACACAGCAGAGCCGCGCCGTTGCTCTTCGCTTATTTATTTTTCAACTTTTATCATTTGTCAAAGCTGTGCGGGGATCACAAAAAAAAATATAAAGAAATAAATGGCTTCTCTGTTATCTCTGTGGCTTGTGCGACATCACACAGCCTAATGAAAGCGTTCCAGATCCCTGTCCCAGTGGAGCAGCTATCACAGCATGCAAAGCGATGACGAGATCTGCTTCATTCTTCAACATTTTTCGACTTCCTGCAAGTCTTTGGAGAGAAAAAAAATATACAAGCATCACTCATGGAGGATATTCATTTTGTGACACCGAACTGTTCCCTTTTTTTAAAAACGTACCTCAAACCAATTGCTCAATTATGGTGAGAAAAGACACAATTTATGTCTACCCTCCAGTTTTCTCATACGGCAGTGGTTTGATCGTTTTTACGAGATGGAGGCTTGTTAGGGGAAAAACTGATTGAGGTTTTGACTGTTTGTTGACCATGTGGTCATGCTAATATCTTACAACTGTCTGCTCCTTTCAAAGATCAGAGTCCTAATTGTCCATCATTTCTAAGCAAACTTAGAAACTTTTAACTTTGATTTTTTTTTTTTGTAGCCATCTTTTAGCATCACATTTCCGATTGCAAATTTAAACGTCATCACTAAATATTTTAGTTTCATTAAATCCTCCCTTACTCTTTCTCTTTGTGTGTGCTATTGATGTAAACCCCTTTTCTTTCACCTAGATTCTCAGTTTCCGTCTGACATGTTTTTCTTTTAAAAACATGTCAAAAATATTCTTCTCAGACAAATTAGATAACTTTTTCAAATAGAGTGAGAATCCAAATTCGATGAATCTTGTGGGCCTCATCAGGTTACAAGCTCTCAGGTTCCTCTGAGTTTATGTTGGGGTTAGTTGCTTGACCATTTTAAGTTTTTTTTTAGCTTTGTTTTGGGTTTTTTTTTACACACGGCAAACCAGCATGTTTTAGCCATCCTCAGACTAAAGTTACCTTTCTGAGGAGTTTGAGAACCCTTCCCATTGTTTCCACTGACAGGTCTGGGACCACGTTTCGGCTGACTCAGCATGTGCAAGCAATTTCCCCTTTGTTTAGTTATATTTTTTAACGGAAGGCCCATTAGCAGGTTTTCATGTATTTCTTGAAGAAAAGCTGCGTTTCAATTCCTTCATTTTTCACCTCATATTCAAAGACAGCTGTTCCTGTCATTTTATATATATATATATATATAATTAATAAAATGTATATCTTTTCTTTTCATGGTTATATTTCTCAGGATGTTCAGGTATTGAATAAAACTTTTTTTTTTTTAAAGCTTTGCAAAGAACTTTCTCCTATATAAAAACAAGCTTCCTCGGAGCGTAATAATTCTATGTTTTCTTTTCTCCCAAATGGTTGTGTACACCGATATCAAAAGTTGAGTTAGCCTGGAGCTGCCCGGGCAGAATTCTCCTGTGATTGTTTTTTTTTTTTTTTTTAGACATATTGACTTTTGAAAAGAAACTTTTTTTTTTAAGTCAAATACCGCGCAGGCAAAATGGGAACGCAGAGCAGATGGTGCTGTGAGATGTGCGTGCGGCAATAACCATCGCACTGTCGCTGCTTCTGCCTACACCAGAGCGGCCGTACACGCCGCACAGACATTGACGATTGAGGTTTTGTCGTTTTCTATGATGCTGATGAATTGTAAAATCTTTCCTGCATGCTTTCAGGGTCACAGTATACAAGACAGACCTCTCTATGAGAGTTCATAGCTGTGCACGGTATATAAATCATATGCATTTGTGCAGCTATGGACTTGCATAGCTCGCATAAATGTGCTCGTAGGGCTCAGTTGGTGCAGCATGCTGTGATCTGTAAAGGCGTCAAGGGTTTTATTCCCGCAGGAGCCACCCAGGGCGAAAATATATGAAGTCACTCAACCGGTAGAGCCTTGGTGGTTAGCGGAGCCGTGGCACGTTAAATCAGGAGGGGCCTTCGAGTTCAAAGGTGAGCCTACGCTACAACCCGATCACCTGAAAACTCCGACCTGATTTGCATTTGTCACAGGAGCAGCCAGAAGATTAGCACAGACCACGTTCGATTACGTAACCCCCCGCTGTCGTGTAAGGGAAGTTGAAAGCCGCGGAGCGTGACGTGACAGGGCTCCACACACTCCTCACCAGTGTTTTTGGCACAACAAAGGCATATTAACAGTCCAAATAATTTCCTCTCACGACCAAACACATGGGGTTGAGGAACACGAGGAGGGGGTGACCATGGACGACAGAGGGCACAAAGCTCTAAGATCAGGGAAGGTTTGAATGAGATTTCAGACTCATCTGCAAGAAGATCAGTTAACAGCAAAAGGTTTGGATGGTGGAGGAGGGGGGGGGGGTTATGAAGCCTCTTTGTGTTTGAAGCAGCAATCACCTTTTTATAGCAATATGCAGGGAACAGATTTAGACCAAACAGAACAAAAAAAGCTGAGCAGGACAATATTAGAGTGGGATTGCAAAAGCCTCCTGTAGGAAGTCATGTAGAGGTTCCAGCTGTGTGCTGGTGGACTTGGTCACCGCCTTGCCGTACAGATTGACCTTGCAGGGAACTTCTTTTTTTTTCTATTTCAAAAGATACAACTTTGCATCCAAGTGTGAAAAGATTTTAGCTCGGTATCAGAACGTCAGACATGTACCGTAAAAAAGTAAGCAGTCAGTATTCAGGCTCTCGTCAACATCTGTCCCGTTGGTTAGTCTCTCCCTAGCTGCGCAGTTTCCTGGGCTTCCAGATGTTCATATGCTGCATGACTGCACCATGTGCAGTGCAGCACACTACAGCACCTGATACCCATCTCCTTCTAGGGATCACCACTGCCATCTAGTTGTGAAAAGTGATATGAAAAGAAAAGTGACACACTTGCAGGCCTCTGCTGAACAGAGGCGCCATTTCCAAAAAATTACGAGCCTTTTAGGTCAAATAGAAACATCAAAAAGAAAAAAATATATAATTAACCAAAAGTAAAATGAGGTCAATTCAGATCACCTTTAATTTAAAAATGTATTACATACCATACATTAAAAAAAAAATCCAGTGGAGTAGTTTGTGTTTGAAGAAAACAAGTTGCAATTAAATAAATTAAACGACACCGTCACCACACACAATTATTGTATCCAAAACTAAGGAACTGAGCAAGTACAGCTGGTGCTTTCAGCCCCAGGAGTCTAAAAGTAAAATCAATCAATCAAGGAGCTCACTTTTAATTCTAGAGCGTTGAATGTGAACCCCCACCCCGTGCAGACTCTAAAACACATTTTTGTGTTCAGAGGAAAAAGCAGCTGTCTTGAAAATCAATTGTTAACCTTGGTGGAAAAGTAAAAATTTGAAATAAAAAAAATAAAAAAACAAAAAGATGCCAGATTAATCATTGTTTTTGCCCCACAGATACAAGTGAAAACTATGGAAAGATGAGCCCCTGTGTGAGCTGCACATCAAACCACAGAGGTTGAGAGTTTCCTATTGTGTTAACACCCGACAAGTCCATTCCAGATCAAAGTCTGACGAATAACATCAGAGCCTGGAACTACCCAAAATCAGGTTTGTCTCACTGAGAGAGAAATGGGTCACCTCTTCAGAGCCTGTCTTGTGAACATATTCCCGTGGATTTTAGGGTTTTAAAGTTGTCATTCAGAAAAACAGCAAGTCGCAAAAAAAAGTTATGCAAAAGGCTGAGCCCCAGTGCTGGAATAAGACCTTTTTCAAAGGAGCTAAATCTCTTCCCGCATGTTTCAGCTTAAAGCTCATCGCGGCTGCCTCTGTGACAGTCATCACCAGCTTAAGAGTCCCGTTTCCCAATGCGGAAGGCACATGAACAATTTCTCCAGAGCTAAGCCAACACCAAAGAGAAGTTGGTTATCAGTTATGGTTAATATGTTTCTGACGGTGGTGGTGGTGGTGGGGTGGACCGATCGGTGGCGTCATCATGGGTGCAGGTACAGAATGGCTCCCAACTCCTGCAGTCTCTTTAAGGCTTCAGCTTCGTGGTTGAGGTCGTGGTAGGAATTCTACAAACAAAGACGGGAAGAAGCAGCAGTTTTTTACAGATGCGCTTGAAGAGGACATGCTTCCAAAAGATGCCTTGCATCCCACCTTCATAGATTTCATGGTGTCCTGTCCATAGTAATGTATAGGCTGCCGTGGGTTCTTTGAATTTGGGTATCCAAATCCGGCGATGTGAACCACGTCACAGTAGTTGAGGGCCACAAAGACAGCCAAAAGACCCGTGGTAGGATGTACAGGACTCTGTGGCAAAAAGAGGATATCGGCAGTCAGTGGCAATGAACAAATCAAAGCACAAAAAAAAAAAAAAACAGCTTTGCAGACACACAGCTTAAATCAGAGCTTTCTGATATCAACTCCTGGTTTCAGCAGTGGACTAAGTGTATCCTGTGTGAGATAAAAGCTTTGAAAAAGTGTTCAGAAACCTATCGTTAACGTTTCGAAACAACAGATGTTTTGAACAAACGGCTGAATTTTGCAGGCGTTTCAGTCTATTCAATCAAGAATGCTGGAATCTGAGTGACCACTAGATGGCAGCATAGGGGAAAATGACAGTTGTTTACACACTGCACAATGTGAAATTCATCATCACAAGTGTTCAAAAGAGCAGAACCTTGTTCAAGTATATATATATATATATATATATATATTTTTTTTTTTTTTTTATTACTTTATGTTCCATCAGATTTGAGGGGGATCTGTGATCAACAACTTAAACCTTTCCTTGGCATGGACTTTGTAGCAAGAATGAGGTAATATATTAGAATATAGATAAACTGCTGGTTTATGGAAGGACTCTATTGTTCTATTGTTCTTGAAAAAAAATGTCAAATGTTACTCCATAATAACTAAAATGCAGGATAAAATTGTAGATTCTACACAGCTTTCACAACTGTAAATTTCTGTTACCCATAGGTCCTATTAGTCTGTGTTATATATATAATAGAGATAAGGCCTTCCCCTGGCCTTATCACAAAGATGTATCTAATTCTGAGGGAGTTACAACAGTCATGATACTAATAGTGATGCTAAATTTTTAGTGAGAAGGCAGCTGGACTTCTTTTCTTGTTTTGTAAAGATTCTCCAATCCAAATTGTGCAGAAAAGAAGCCTTTCCGACAAATAGAACCCCCCCCCCCCCCCCGTCTGACCTGATGGAAAACACAAATGGAAATGAGTCTGTTGGATGCTGATTATCAAGACTTAACAACTGTGTCAAATGATGCCATCAAATCAGTGTCTGTCAGGCTGTGAGCCTGCACAAAGCTGCTGGTAGCGTGCCAGCTGGGGGGGTACCTGAGCATCGAGATATCAGTTCAAACCACATGTGCATGTCACAACTGTCCTAGTAAGTAGGTGATTCTGCATTTGTGTGGGAAATGGTAAAGCTGAAGGAAAACAGACTAAAACATCCACTCGATTATAGATTAGAAAAAAATAAAATAGTACATTAAAGCAGAAGGATTCGAAACCACCACAGAAAATAAAAAAATAAAGTAGTATTACACAACTACGGGTGACTTCAGTAGTAATGTCCAATCATGGTTGAAAAACTAAGGAAAAACTGGATATCAGGATAATTACATTTAAAAGACCTTTTATCACGTAAGTGTGGGTTGTGGGCAATTTTGATGGATAGATTTCTCCCCTGCAGTCTTAAATCGCATGCCCATTCCCTAAGGTGGCACATAGTTTAAAATACCATATACGGTGTATGAGGCAATGTTTCCAGACCTGTAGGGACGGCAAATAGAGACTTGTAAGCTCAGCAGATCTACAATGAGCCAAAACAACTAATCCAGTATGTGATCACAAAAATAACCCAACCTCTTCCAAGTTACCACAGAAAAATGAAGTAACAAGTAAACTATGTGTTTAAACAGGCATTGTGGGATTGTCGTTTCTTTTTTGTTCCCCCCATTTTATTATCAAGCCTAGATCCTCATGAATTATTGGTTATTCTCCCCCTTACGCATTCCAAAGGTCTTAGTTACTTGACTGAAAGATTACCGTGACTATAATCCTGGAGACTGCTCTGCATAGAGTAGAAAGAGAGCACTTCATGCCAGTGAATCGTGACGTTGCTGTGTGAAAAAGGTTACACCAACATGGGCCATAATGGCAAGTGAATCTTTTTTAAGGTATTCTAAACAGAGCACGGCTGGGCAGTTGAGTTTATTGAAGTATAACATGGTTCACTTTAAGCTCCTTAGTCGGACAGCTTTGTTTGCACCATGATAGTTGCACCCTCTAGGTTTAGAGGGCAGTTTATAAACAAGTAGTACGTTTCAAGACTGAGCTTAAAAATCAGGTTGGAAAATAAGGTTAGAAGCCAGGTTAGATATGGTCAGTAATGAATTAATTGGTGTATTTGGCGATGTGTTTCTGTCTGTGTTTTTGTATGGATGGTAACACTAGAATAGAATACTTTATTGATCCCACAGTGGGGAAATGTACAAGTTACTCAGGGAACAGGAAAAAAGACGAGCAGAGTGGAGGCATAAATAAAGGTTATTTAGAATGTAATAAAATCAAGGTCATTAACAAGGGAGTTATCAAAATACTACTACATATGCATATATATGTACATACATACACATACATATGTAGTATGCATCAAAATAAATGGTACACATTTCTGAACAGGCAAGCTCCGCACTACACCGTGTAGCTTTTTCTCTGGCCTTGAGGTGTGCATTACATGCACACATCTGAACAGGAAACTTTAAATGCTCCTCATTTTCAGAATTCTGTCATCTTGCACTGAGCTCAGAGTTGTGAGGCTGGTTGAATAAATCCAATTAGAACTTTTGGGAGCCAAGAGCGGAGTCAGAACATTATAACAAGGAACAAATGTGAGAATTAACAAGATGAGAGATGTTTGTTGTTCTGGCTCGAGTTGGCCTCTCCGGTGCACTGAGATTTCCCAGCACTGCTTGCCACTTTCCATATGCCTTGGTCAATGATTACCCCTTTTCATCAAGGCAAGGAGGAGGAATCTGCATGACCTGAAAGAACAAATGTTCTTTTCCTCTTCCCACACTTCCAAAGCTATCATTTTTATCTTTTTCTTCCCCCTCTACTGCTTATGTCATCACCGGGTTTCCCCTAAAGCACCCTTAAACCAAGTTTTTTTCAGTCCCGCATCCCACTGGGGAACATACAAGTGTTTACAAGGTGTCCTAAAATACTTTAAGTGATAAAAAGAAATAAATGAATGAATAATTTCATTGGTGTCGTTTTCGATAAGCTTCCGCAATGTGAAGAGATTTGTTTCCATCCAGTACTGCAATCATTTTTCACCAAGATCTTGTACTGATGATGGGCAAAGCCTTCTACTGCACATTCCAAAGATTCTCACTGGGGTTCAGGTCCGGACTCTGTGGGGAAAATTAGGTCTAATGCACCCTGAAGCACTCTTTCACAATTTGAGCCCAACAAATCTTGGCATTGTCATCTTGGAATATGCCCGTACAGAGCATAGCAGGAATAAAAATCCAGATAGATATAAATAGCTGCTAATGCAGTATATTCAGGAAGTCTGCCGACCTTATTCTAGGAGCTCATAATGGAAGCCACCCCAGACCACAGCACTGCCCCCACAACCTATGTTTAACTAAAAGAATAAACCTTCTCAAAGATTTGACAGGGTGAAGACTAATAGGCAGTGAGCCGCACATCCCACTTATCCATTCACCCATGTTTATAACAATCCCATCCGTTACTCAGACTATGCTTTTTACTGTTTCCAACAAGATAAGGACATGCTTTTACTCAAAAGTAAATTAACGCTTAAGTTTAGAAAAATATCTGATTTTAGTGTTAAAGAATATCAAGCTGTTTCCAACTATTTCAAAACCAACGCTGGCCGAATACGACCAACAAGTTGAACCTGGCTGCTTGAACACTTTAACTTTATCAACCTAACCCCGTATTTGGTTGTGAAATCTCATTCCCCACAGCCAATTGTCTTTCGGAGATTTACAACATCAATTTAATAAAAACTTTTTTTCCCCTTTCTTTTAAAAAAAAAAAAAAAAAAAAAAAGTTTTAAAAATCAATTAAAAAAAAAAACTGTCAACTATTGTGGGTATTTTCACAGAAACAAACTGTTGACTCAAGCAGAGAGAGAAACCGATCCATGTGACCACTCATAACCCCTCGGGGAGATTCAGATGATTAACTCGACGGCTCCAACGATTTGTGCCTCTTTTTCCACACTAGAGAGAAATCTCTGCTGTACTGAGTATATATCTTTTTTAATCCCCCATTTACTGTCATTTGTCAGCTCCACTTGGTTAAAAACGGTGTCCTCAGCCCACTCACACCAGATTTGCATTTCATGGCAACCCCACCTTGCTCTCACTGAGTGTTTATCAGGGGAAATCCTTTTCCTGCATGAATAACCATTCATCTTGACTGTTGAAGTTTCTAAAACGAGAAAAAGCTGTGTATGATCAAGACTCTGAAAGAGTCTGAAATCTAAAAAGATGACAAACCTCCTAAACTCTTGAGCAAATGTGCTTTGGGTTTCTTGTTGCAGCTTTTGGCATGGGGAATAACTTTAGAGCGAACCCAGAACTAATTCTGACAGCAAATATCAGAAATATCAGTCTGAATTTTGACCAAAACTTACTTAGTCCCAGTAAATAGGCCAGGCTTTATGATGGGGCCGGGCCATCACTGACAAGCTGTCACGGTTTTAAATGTTTTTTTTAGGCTCTGTTACTCGTGCGGCAGCACTCGCATGTCAGAGACAGAATCCATACGGCTAGTCAGAGCATGTGTTCTTGGTAGATTATTTGTCTGTGTAAATCTGTGGCTTAAACCATGCAGACAAAGGCTGCGTAAAAAAGTCAGTTGAAAGGCTTATCTGGCCCAGTAGTCATGATCAGATAACTGAGCTCGCATCCTGTGCGACCTCACCCACAGGCACGGGGAGGGGCCAAGTGGCTGAATATTCGGTCTCAGATGTTCTGATGCTGCAGAACTCCCCTCTCCCCGAGCTCGTTTCATACAGATGGTGCAGAGCTCCTGCTGGGCAGGCCCGCTCATCGCCTGTAGGGCCAATGCAGTCCTCTCCTGATGCATCGGCCACTTGTCTATGTGACGCAGTCCAAAAAGACTAACATCTGCTTTGTTTTTTGACAAAAGGAAACTCCAGAGAAGGGAGCGAGTACAACCAAAACAAAACTTGGCTCAGGGCAGCGTCTGGGACCCTCCAAATAGGGGCAAATGACCAGCCTCGCTCCATTTTCACACCACACTCACAGGATGGACAGGCCAAGGTTAAGAGTTTCATAATCTTTGGTGTTAAAAAAAGGCTGTTGCTCAATCACATTTCTCTCACACAAATTCCGGGGGTCTGTTTTCATTTTTCAACGCTCTGTTTTTATTGGTGCGTTGCTTGGCTGCCATCGACTTGAAAATCTCTGCTCTCAGTGAACAGCAGAACAACAAAAGGTCCCAGTTGATGATACTTACCAGAGACAACAGCTACAATTTCAGCTTTGCAGACAACAACTGCAGGAAGCTGACTTGTTAACAAGCGGGACATCTGGCCGAACGTACACAATACTTTGGCCCTCTTCTAAACCCCAATATTTCTCAGAAACTGAGAGAGAAAGCCAGAATTCTCTTATCTCGTAATGAAAGAGCGAAACGCCAATGCAGAAGCTCATGTTGGTCAGACGGGTAAACAGAGTCACAAAATGGCTAATAACCCTCTAAGAACCCCCTTCCCTTCCACGGCGGCTGTTCCCAGAGCTCAGGGCGCATCCCTACACGAGCCGCTGGCTAACAAGCACTGCTCTTTTGCAAAAGGAAAGAAAAGGAAAAGACAAGAGGGAGAATGTTTGGTGGGAAAACTGCTGTGGAGGATGGGCGAAACACTAAGCGTTGCGACGACTGATTGGCGCTGACTCGAGTTGATTTTAAGGATAGAAAAGCTGTTTGAATATGATGTAAAAACACTGAACGGGGAGCGGCCTCTCACCTGTTTCCCCTTCGGCTGGAAAGGGATCCGAAGCAGTTTCTCTGCGGTCTGGTGCAAAAAGTGAGGGTCCAGCACTCTGATCTTACTGACGTCGCCCGACCAGATTTGGGGAGGAGGCTTCCAGAAGCCTTTCCTGACCTTGATCGAGCACATCACATAGAGGTAGGGAGAAAAAAAAGAGATGAGTGCTGGGGATGGCATGGGAGTGCAGAGAACAAAATGACATTTGATATTTTTTCTTTGTTTATGCAAAGGGAGATGCAACTGAACCTGCGACTCCCTCTTGTCTGGAGGCTAAATCGATGTGCAAATTAGTGGGTAATGACCAGGCAACTATTAGCGGTGGGAGGCCGGAGGTGCCCGGAGCTGCAGAGTGACGGATGGAAACTACACTTAACTCAGAGGGAGTGAAGCTGAACCTTTTAAATGTTTGCCGCCGATATGGATGACCGATCAGAAAAGAAACCAAACGCGCCACATTTATGCTGAGGGGGGACGACAAAGTGTGTGCGTGTGTGTTTTTGTGTGAGAGAAAGTGGGTTCTCACACATATCCTGTACCCTCTTTTCGTCATAGAGGATCTCTTTGAGCCACCGTAGATCTTGCTGTTTGAAAGGCACCAGGACCATGAGTGTGCCCGGCTCGTTGTGCACGCCGGGGTCCGAGGAGGCTGACTCCGGGTAGAAGAACCTCATGGTGGTCTTGCTCCCCACGTCGTCCTCGTAGCTCCTTACTGGGGCATCATTTAACCTGAGGGACATTTAAGACAGCTATTGCCACTTAGTTCTCACAGCATTCCGTTTTAACTCTGCAGCCCGCGTGCACCAACAAAAAAGCTTCCTGGTATGTTTTTGACTGACCTTCCATTTTCTCCATTGTGGTCTTTTGACTGCATTTTCTTTTTGAGGGGGGTCCATTACTCTATTGGTAGTTAACTTCTATAAAGAGCTCAGTACCCTTACAGTCAGGTTATTCCTTTTATTTTATAGTATCTATAAGAGCCTATTTACATGTATAAATGTTCAGCCAGATCAATCTACCCCTGCATTTTTTTTCATTCCACAAAAATCTGTTGTCACCATCTGCTTCCTTTTAGCTCCTTTCACTTAAAGACGTTCCTTCCTGAAAGAAAAAGTCCCAAGTGTGCATCAGTGGGTTAGGGCTTAGCTTAGGCTACCAGCAAGTACTCAAACTCATGAATTATTTCAATTTGAGTAAATTTATACTTGGATAAAATGTCTTTTGAATCACCAATGTACAGCTCAATTAAAAAAAAGACACATAAAAGAACATAAGCCGTCAGGTGTCCACTAAACAATATCTACACCAGTATAATATCCAACTACACCTTACATCTTTATTCTTGTCTGAAATAAAAATGTTTACCTCCTGTTTCAGAAGTTTTCAGTTTATTTCCGACCATTTATTTACCAGAACTGAAATTAAGGTCCCTCGCATTGTGAACAAATAATGGAAACGGACTGGGTTGCAGATCGTCTTTGCCATCGTGGCCATGATTTGTGGGGCTTGTTCCCATTCAGTGTCAACAAAACATACCCATAACTCCTATTACATCCACATGTGCTTTTCTATCACACATAACACAACTAAAGCAAGCCTTAACAGAAAACTGAACTAGCTCACACCAGACCCTTCGGGGGTGTCGAATCTAGCATGAATGCAAGGAAACCTTCTTGTTTTATTATTTTTAACAGATTTTTATAAATCCCAGAAAACTCACTTCTGCAGCTCAAGAACACAGTAGCACGAGCTGATCTCTTGTTTGGTAAAATCATCGGTCCGCACTGTGGAAAACCTAAATCTCTACAGGCTTTGGAAACACCCTGTTGCGTTTCTATGATAGAACAAGCCTGATGACGTCAAGCTCTTAGGCACGCACTGAGTTCTGAACGTCAATAACCTTATTCTACTTGGCCAGGAAACCATTAGCTTCTAAGAGGGTAAGAAGAGATGTGAGGGGAGGAGAGCGGGGGGGGTGACTGGTGTGTGGAGAAAAATGCATTGTGGGCTGGCCAAATTCAGGCTGTTTAAAAGAGGCTTATAAAAACTCAGAATGCATGTCTTCATACCAGAGCTGTAGAGTCAGATTTGCACAATGTCAGTGAGCAAACTGAAGGTTTTTCTCCCTCCTTTGAGGAACTTGATTTGACCTCAAAATTTTTCAGGATCAGCGTCCAACATCACATTTTGGACAGGGTCCGTTATAAGCCGACAGCAAATGTCTGTCTTTCTGTGATCAGGAGGGGAAAAACAAGAAAGAAACAGCATCCAGCCGATCCCAACTTGACAGTCATCATGAAGAGTCCTGTCCTATAGAAGGTGTTTGATTTGATTATTGTGAGGCCACTAGTGTTTTTAGTGCAATCCATCACAAGTGGCAATGATCGGAAACCAAGATGCTTGCAAGCGTTTTCAACACTTCAGTGAACACAGAGAAGCTTGTTGGTACCGCATTAAAAACTAGTAAGATTGTGAAAGTGAACACACAGAATGGTTTCAGGAACTCTTTCAGAAACCACTGCATTGACACACAGTTCACCATGCAGTCCACAAATCTGTGCTAAACTAAGCTTTACTATGCAAAAGAAGCCCGATGTAAGAATCCCCCACAAGCCCTGCTGTCTCCTCCAGACCAAAGTTAATTGACTGAGGGAGAGCAGAGAGCAGTTCTGTGGTTAGAAAAATCAGGCTGAATACTTTTTGGATATCTAAGACACAAATTCCTCCAAACTAAAAAAAGGAAGGAGGCTACCGGTGCTCAGTTCTATTTCCACAGTTGTATGTTTTCGATGAAATTCTGAGTATTATCAGTCCGTGAGGTTTCATTTGAATATCATGCACTGACCCATCAGGTTTGGAACTGGCCTGATGCACACGACTGGGAGCTCTGCGGGGTCTGGCCCGAACTCACCGAATGACCACGTCGTACTTGTTGATGACGCTTCCCAAAGAGCTGTTTTTAATGACGAAGCTGTTGCCCACAACGACACAGGTTCTGCATTCAAGGCTGCATCAACACAATAAATAAATAAATAAATTAATTAATTAATAAATAAATATGCACACAAGTTTTTCACACAATAAATTATGACGTGGTTGTGGTTATATTGTGTTTCTGCAGAGTTTAAAATAGGAACAAAAGGCTTCTCTAGAAGCATAATCAGCAAGCCATTAGAGCACAAAAGCATTATGTGCTTAGTCGAGAGGTCAAAAAAGGTCAAATGTGTTATACATGGTTTAAATTTGCTATATTTAGTTTCTTTATATTCATTGCTGTCCAGTCTTGGAGATCGACCATTTTGCCTTGTTAGTAAAAACATTTTTTTTAAAGATAAATAAAGGCAACATCTTAACAGGCAATTCAACCTCAGACATAGTTAAGTTAGTTCATGCTCAAACTTACTTTTCAAGATTAGCTGGCATTTGATCATTTGCAGTGACGGCAAGAACTTGAACAAGTAGCTGCTCCTCTGAGGAGGAAAACAAAAGGAGGAAGGAAAAAAGAAGAAGTTGAAAACCTCGATTCACATAGACTCCTTTTTAGTCTATTGCTTTTAAAAGTCAGCAATTTTTCAAAACATAATTGCCGTAGTTTGGCACTGACGGGCAGGACCGCACTCACATTCATAAGAATGTGAGACGTACAGAGCAAACTGTGCGAAAGGATATCATGCAGTGGAAAGTCAACATACCGCTGCCTTTAATGCCATAAGGTAATGCCTGCTTTGACAGATGGTCCTTCCAAAAGAAATCCTGCAGTCTCAGAAAAAGCTGCGTCTGTCTGCTAATGCTGCAAGAGATGCGTCAGAGCAGGAATTAGAACAAAAAACAGGACAGCGGTGGAGGGATAAGTTATCACAGGAGCACATGGGTGAGGTTTCAGGCATTGAGGCCAAAGGAAAACCGCTGGGAGAGGTCCTTGGCCCCAAGTGACGGCAGAACCACACAATGGACAGTGTCATCTGTGCAGCCGTGCAGTCCGCCGCTCATGCCAGCACATGAAAATCGGCCTCATTTGCTGAGCAGCAACCCTAACGGTTGAATGTGTTCTGGCTACTATCAAAGAGGACATAATTTGGAAAAAGAAAGAACGCTCGTATTTGGATGTCTGAAAACTCGGCTTTGAGCTCAACAGGTCTGAAAAGAAAAGCTCAATTTTGCCGCCTGGGTTTGGTCTCTACTTCCAAAGGCAGGCCTCATTGTCTTTATCACAATCAGTGAGACTGTGAGACTTTGCATTTAACATGCAAAACGTTGACATCATATTTGAATGGACTGTCGAAGAAGCGCTGCTTAGAGTGCTTCACGTCTGTCGGTTGCACCCTTAGTAAATGATCTATATTTGGAGAGAGTGTCATTGCTTGGATTGGTGGAATAGCCTTGGCATGTTTGAGGATGTTGGAGATCCATTCACTTCCTCTGTTTGCATACCTGCTTTGTCATACTGAGAGGCATGGATAAGACTCACCGAGGTCAGTTAGCTGCTCCCCTTTGCTGGTCTCCCCTGAAACAGGGTGGTCTGAAGAGCCTTTTTTTTATTCTTTGAAATTTAGGGTGAAAAGACAGCTATTTTGCTTAGGGCCAGTGAAATTTTGACTTAAGCGAAAAAAAACTGTGCCAGCTTGTTATATAATTTTTTTATCAAAAAGGCATAAAATGCTTACTTTAAGGATGTAAACCAGTCTTGTCATAAAAATCAACCGTTTACATGATGTCATTCCACAGAAATGTCCCTCCATTAAAGTCTACCATTGGCATTTTTCTGCTGAGGAAAGGGAAAAGAAAATAAGAACCTTTACCAAGCCTGTGGAGGGAAACAAATGTGGCAGGTTTCAATGAGTGAAAGGGCTGCGTTTCTGTCTTCGCTGGCTTCAGACTGCAGCTGTTTATGACCTGCTGTCTTTGATGGCGAGTCTCTCAGACATTTACTACCCTCTTGAGCCAGCTAGCTCTCCGCAGGAGATGGGGATAAACCCCTTTTGGACAGGTCTAATTAGAGAATGTCACAGCGATTGCCTGGAAGGACTCCCTGTGAATGTGATAACTGATGTAAAAAAAAAATAGAAAGAAATTAAAATCCAAGAACAGTGGACCAGCAACCCTCAAGAAATTGGCTTCTTTTACAGCGGGTAAACATGGAGGGAATTATGAGCCGTAACATTTTTTTACGGGTTGGCAGTAGAAGATCTGCTGGGCTGAAGTAATAAACAGTGACCTTGGCTGGACAAGGTTGAGGCAACCCACAGATGGTGACCATATCTCTATTTTGTAAGCGAGTTGAGTCCACAGAAAGAAGAGTAAATCACCAGCTGAATAAACTGATAATATAGCAAAAGAAAAATAAATAAGAAGAGGTTTAAGAATGTGAAGCAAAGAGAAGCCATTGTGTACCTCAAGATAACAGTCATGAGCCAACCATTGGTTTTTCTATTAAATTATTTCCCATTGTTAAGATGATTGAGACATTCCACGTGAGTCACTGAACCTTAACAGCAGCTATTAAGATGTTATTTTGGAGGGTTTTTTATGAAAAGCTCTGCTTTTTGTCAAGTCTTTTCTGTCGTGGCAGACAAAATGCTGTCAGGTTTCAAGTGACCTGGCACACAGCTCAAATAAGAAAACACTGGCATACTGTTCTCCCCCAACAAGCCACCCACTCCTTCCAGTAAGTGAAAAAGAAAACACACGCCATTACTCACTTGAAGTTAAGGCTCTCCCACTTTTTCTGGGTTAGCCAGCCACCGCACAGCGACTTGCTACTGTTCATAAGCTTGCCGGTGACGTCAGAGCTGAAACACAGACAAGTTACCACAGCTTGCATCAAAACTTGCTGAATCCATAAAGATCCAGTGTGCCAGTGGCTGGGTCCAGACCAATGGAAAAGTGCAAGAGCGGGAGAGTGTGAGAGTTGATCCGACCGGCAGCTCAGACCTCAAGGTGATCAGAGTATCTGCTTGTCTTCTTAAGTTGTGGAGACTCTGCACTCAATCACACCTCACTAGAGTTTCTATTTTTTCTTGTTTTTTGTTTTTCATGATCAGGAACAGGCATTTATGTAGATTGTAAGACATGACGAAAAAAAAAGAAGAAAAAAAAAGAGACAATGGTGTCAGTGTGTGTGGTATTACCTCAGAAGAGTGGTGTAGGAATAGTAGTACGTGACAAAGGACACAAAGAGGAGGACAACTGGGAGAAGCCTAAGGCACCATGCTGGAGTAAATAAAGACAAAAACAGAGGCAAATGATGAAAAAGAAAATTTAAATAAAGTTAGGCGTGTTTTTAAATGGTGAAGGCCTTAACCTGAACCAATTGAAGCTCGTGTACAGTTTGTGGCAAACAAGGATGTAGAATAGAGCATCTGAAGACTTTTTTTTCTTGTTTTTAACAAATTAAGTACAAATGCAAAAAAACTGGAGATGAGGGTTAACGTGCTCTGTGGTAACGCACTGTAAGCTGGGTTTGGAATTCTAGAAATAAATTAGTGAATTCCCAATAAATTCACAGCGGAGTGGTGCAATAAGTTTAAGCTCACCAACTGATTGGCTGTTTTGTAGAAACACAAGTTGTCAAAAGTTTGACCTATTAACCATGTGTGTTTGGGTTTAGAAATAGTGCATCATAAGTTCTGGCAGCGACGGAGGGTGATTAGTGACTGAATGCAGCTGAGGACAGTGAACATAAGGTGAAAGCAGTTAAGCTGATGATGAGGACAGGAGGGAATCTGAGGAAATGGAATAAATATACAAACACGGGACAGAAAACAACTAATCAAACGATCACATGATGATAAAACTGAAAAAAAGTTCAAATTTGCCGTTTGTTCCCAGTTTAGTTCTAACAATCAACAGTGTGCATGTGCGTTAATCTGCAACAGAGAAAAAATAATAATAATAATCTAATAATTAAAGATAAAACATCTTATATGAAAAAATCCCCTTACTTTTACATGTCTTCTGGGACATCTTCACATCCTTATTGGTCCTCTCATGTCTGCACAATGACCAGCTCATCCTGGAGAGGGAAAGTATTTGATACAGCTTTAAAGCCTCATCATCTACTTTGGGAAAAATAAAAAAGAAGAAAAAAAATCAAAAGAAGGGGGAAATTTGACTAAAAAGGGAAAAGACACTTATTTGTGGCTTCCTTAAAAAACGCAAAGGCAGCAAGTTTTTCAAGGCGGCAAAAACAAAAACAAGACAGCGTTAAGTGAAGTTTAACACACAAAGACAAGTATATCTGATGAAGGCTGATCAGTTTAAGAGGATCAAACTGGACCCTGAGCTGAGTGATATAATGTATCGGCTTGTTTCAGTCATGCTTTAGAGAGCTTAGATTGCGGCTTAGATCAGCTTAAAGGGCATTTAACGCAGCACACATCGAACTATTTAACTTACCCAAAGTCTCTTTCAGATAGAAGGCATGCAGAAGCCAGAGTCCCTTTAAAAAGGGGAGGAGGGGGGGGATACTTGCCTTTCTCTAAAAGCTACCAAAACTGAAAAAGTGCAAAGTTGAATGTCTATTTCAGTATTAGAATGAGAATGCCTACTGCAATTCAAAAGCAGTAAGGTGACACTTCTGAAAATACCGATGCTCGCTCAAACATGACAGAGTTTAAAGAGTGAAACCCAAGTGATAAATGAATGGAACCACAGCCACACATGGATGATACGATGCTGCGATACGTTCTGTAAATACACAAGACCCATCCTGTCAGATAGTATTTTTTTACAGTTTACTTCACGCTTTTATGCCAAAATACCCAGCAGTTTAAGCATCTGGTGTTACCTTTGGATTTTGGACTAATGGGAAGAAAGAAAACAATCTGTCTAAATGGGCGACAAATGGCTTCAGCCAGTGGCGGCCGGCCCATAGGGGGCGCTCGGGCGCCGCCCCCCCTAGATGTTTAGGGGGAAAGATATAATATATATATTTATTTTTAAAGTATTATCAATGTCAGTTTTACTTAATAATATCTGGCTACATGTAATATGAATTATTAAAACAACACTTCCACCAACTGACTCATTCAACAGTGCATTTCCACCCACAGAACGTATCGTTTCTCCTCTGGGGCGCTAGCCCCAAGCGCCCCAGAAGTGCAGCGAAATAACCAATCAGCATCATCGAAATTAATGGCTTTGGGGCGCCTGGAGCTGGCGCCCCAAAGCCATAGACGTATAGCTAGTGGTCAGTCAGGCTGTGACGTAGAGATGACGGCAACGACGACAGTTAAAGAGCAGCTTTCACACAACTCAGTGAAATCTTTACTGAGATCTTTACCCTTTCGTGAGAAGGACAATGGTGGAAAAATTCAATGTAAAGGAGCTGGGACCTGACAAGTCCGAAATAAATTTAACGCAGCGAACCAATGAAAAAGCTAAGTCCTACAGCCGGCCTTTAACCGCAGCTGGTTCCAGCGTAAGTCCAGGCTGACTGCCGGTGGGACGGACAATGCACTTTTATGTTTTTCCCGCATCCTTTTAAAAGTGACCGGAGTGATTTGACGTGGACACAGTCTGGACAGACAGACTTAAAACACCTCTCTGAACAACTAAGAAACATGAAATATCACGAGTTCATATGGAAAACTGTGTTAAGCTAACCACCTGTGAGCCTACTTTGTGTGTTTGGTGACAAATAGTAAAATTGAGTGTTGTATTTCATACTGTTCCTTTCCAAAATAATACCTAATATAGCTTCAAATGGTTAACTGTATATGTAAACTGCTGATTCTGATAAGGGAATTAAATCATTATTGTGGAATTGTACTAATTTTACGACTTTTAACTTGAATGCATGTACTGGGTTAGGCAGGGAAATCTATTGGCACACCAGCCCCACCAAGATTTTCTTTCACCAGCCGCCACTGGCTTCAGCGTGGTCAGCCACAGGGTATTTTCATTTACAAAAGAGGCCACGCAATTCCATTTTTACTTGAAAGTTCAACAGAATTAGGAAAATGATAAGATACCCCAAATAAACATTTAAAAAACATGTGAATAATCTACTGTCCTTTTGAAGTAAATACAGCTCCTACTTGATAGCAGCCACCAGTTTTAAAAAAGCTAACAAGGTCAACAAGATTAGTTGGGGTCACATCAACAGGTCAATGACATTGATGCTGAATTTACTAAGCTGTTCCCCTCACAAAAAAAGGCACACTGGTTAATAATAAATTATCTGACCTGTAGGGAGAATCTAAACAAAGGCAAGATGAATTCATCCAGGCATTTGACTTGGGCAACACCTAAAGTGGACTCACCTTCGTACTTATTTAACTAAAAACTTTTGTTGAGTAAAAAATAGGGAAAAAAAGCAGTGTTGACTACAAAACCCAAAATTAAAAAGAAAAACACATTTAAGTGCAAAACCCGAACCAAGGAATTGGATGGCCAAAGCCTTACCCAGTACAATAGCCGTGAGAGTGCCCAAATGTATTTCCCCTGGTGCCCTGGTTTCCTCTCAGCGTCCACATAAATGCATGTTGGGTTAATCATCAACCCTTGGATGACCATCCTGTTGCCTGGTAGCTATTTGTTAGTCATTCAATGGGCAATACTAAATCAGAAAAAAATGGGACTGTGTCTAGTCATTTATATTGTGTTTCAAGTGTGATGTATGGTGTGCAGGATGAGGCGGGTTCCTGGGATGAGCAGATGAATGTTCGGAATGCTGAAGAGGAGAGTGTCATTCCTGATTGTTATACAGCACCAGCAAAACAAAAACATTTTTCTTAACACACTCTCCTCCCAATGATTGATGACATCCTAAGTCTTATCTTAAAGGATATTCCCGCACCCTCCCAGCCACCCTTTGTGAAAGCATTTCTTAGCTAATTTTGTGTGAATGCAGCCACAGCTTGAACACAACAATTATCTACTGGGGCTCGAACGAAATGTGGGATCTGTAGCTCTAGCGAACACTCACACCGACAGCTCTGAGAGAGCAGAAACAAGAGTTAAATAGTTTTCGTCTGATATTTGTGGGTCCCGGGATTGCAATGGAAAGGTGGATTGCCATGGTCCAACAGAACGGCAAGGTAATCAACTACATGGTCAAAAACCATCAGTTACAGATCTCTGTGTGGAGTTAGCTGGTTTTCTCATGGTACTCTAACCTAAGTTAGGCCTAGCACTTCCAACACTTGCTTTATACAGCTGAATGAATGAGGAAAAATGTAGTACAATCAATGTATCCTGTTTACATTTTTCCTATTTCCGAGTTTTGTCCAGTAAAACAATTATCGAACTTAATCTTTATAAAAGATACAACTTTACAATTCTGTAACAATTGGTCTTAATCATTTTTACAATGATACTAACTTGTTGCACCATTCAGTTAATAATGAATACAGTAGCTAGGACCATTGAATATGCCAAGGCCCTCTTTTTTGTAGACACTAAAGGCCAAAAGCGATGCTGGGAGGCACAAAGGGTAGCTGACTGGTAATTGGAAAAATCTTAAGGACGTGAGGGCCCAATCGAGAGAAAGATCCATGCCCCTCGCTACAGACATGCTTTCAGCATTGCTGTAAATCTGGGCATGTCTCATGACAGAAACATACACAGACCACTTAACAGTGCTTTGCCACACACTGTACTGATTAAAGATGAGTCAGGCAGCTCCCACCAAAGAGCCAAGTGGAAGTAATTTCAGGAAAGGCATTCAGTTGGAAATTTGTTACTAGAGGCATCATTGGTTAAAGCTGCTTCCTCCCCTGTTCCCAAGAAAAAAAGAGGGCTTTGAGAGGGCTGCTAGCGTAGCAACTTCATGTTAAAAAAAAAATTTTTAAAGGACTGGAGAGCTGTACTTTCTCATGCTTAAATATTTCAATGTGAGATCAATATGACAGGACAGCTTATTGTTTAAATTACCAGATATCTTGTGAATGGGTTACGTCATTTAAAAATGGACTGGACATAAATTCTAAGCCACAATGACCTTTTATCTCTCTCCCTCTACAGCACCTTGTCACTTACAAGCTGATATCTTTCAACCCAGACACATGCTACAGATACAATCTCATGTGTGTTCTGCCCACAATAGAAAATCACCTCTAAAACACTAAATCCATGGATTTAATCCGGGGCAAAGCACTACATCTGGATGATCAGCACTGACATTTTAACCGCTTTCAGAAAAACAAGGCAAGGAAAAAAGGCAAAGCCTTTAACCCTGTTTACTTCCTTCAAGAATCTGCATGTGAAAGCACTCATTAACTGGGCAAATAAATAAAGATATAGCAGCTAAACAGCTAATTCGGTAACTGAAGGTGATTGATGGGAGGATCTATAACAACTCAATTCGTGAGGAGATGAACCCTAAAATTAGAGATATTAGATAGATTTGAGAGACTGAGAAGGACCCTAAGGATGGACGAAATGTTAAAACATGGACGATCGTGAGTACAAATTTGGGGGGGTTTTAGAAATTTGGAATTCGTGGAAAAGTGATTTTGAGCGTTAATGGAATTACAGGAAAGGCATATTAATGGATTGTTTTAAAAAGTGGAAAAGTAGTTGAAAAAGAGGAGGACTGCTGGGGACAGTTGTGCAAGAGCGGACACTCGGCCAAGTTTATAGAACAGAAAGTGTGACCACAAGTCTACTCAAGAACACAGACACACAAAACTGACTTGATTTTCAGATACTTACTTTTTCAAGCCAAACTAATTGATTCAGGCAGCAATGAATCACTATTGCAGAGGGCATATCATGTGTTTCAGCTTATTCTTTCTACAAGTTGCCATGTGCTGAATATCTCTGAGCCCCAATAAACCCAACATCGGTGAAACAAAGGCTCTCTTTTTTGATGCCCCAAAGCTCGATGTATGCGACAATCTGCAAGCAGAGTAAAACTCAACATTTTACAATTATTTTTTTAGAAATGTAATGTTTGACCCGCTTCATTTATAGAAAAAGTACTGCATTCAAGAGCAACGCGAAGCAAAACTGTATTTAAACCGCTGAGAAAGGTCAGATGTGGGGAGGTGGAAATGTTGGTTGAGATAGTCACCAAAGCATTTCCCATCGTAGCTGTTCGACAAACCAATTGACAGTTTTTTTTAAGCGGCCTTTATAAAGCATGAGCAGAATCATGGTTTTTGACTCGTACGCAGCCCATCTGGACTCGATTCTACTTTTCTTTTTCAATTTTATCGTCAGTTAGGCTTAGCGCCTCCTAAAAGTTCCAATTTTAGTATTTATTAATATCTACTTAGTTGGGGCTCTGCCAACGGTTGTTTTCCCAGGGAGTCACATGACCCGATAAGCGACTTTTTTGAGTGAACCCAACTTATTTGAAAAATATGGCAAAAACAAACTAACCATCAATGTTGTAAAATCTGATAGAGGAACCGATTCTAGTTTAGTCTGAGGTGTGGTTAATATGTCGTTGCCAAGAGTTCCTTCATTGTTGTCTGAGGCAGGTTGGCCTGTCTCTCTGTAGGATTTAATTTGAAATAGAAAACGACTCAAACCGAATTGCTGCCTGGTGAGCGGAGTCGAGTAGGTACTGATGAAAAAGCCTGCTAACGTGAGCTGTGAAGATAGAGCCAGACAGAAAGAAGGGTGTCATTTTGGCATACTGGGCCCTAACTGATAAGAGGGATGTATGGTATGAAGCTTCCTGTCTGAGTTGGAGTTCTAAGGAAACCTTTTCTAACTAATCTCATCTTTTAAGCCTTTTCGTGTCCCTTCCAAAGTTCAAATCTTTAAATGAATGTCTGATATTGATGGTTCTAAGATACTCATCTCACTGTGGCCAAACTGGAGGGCTTATTCACCTTTAACACAGAGAGTGGAAGTAAAGGTTGTGTGTGGTCGAAGCAGCTGTTTCGCTTTTCTGCTTCACAGCAGCCCCTCATGCAGAGGGCAAAGCCAGCCGACGTTGTCAAGGGCCTTAAGTTTTCACACCACAGCCTCACTTCCTTGTCACAGCGTTACTTTGGGTTTTGGCAACTTCCCCCCCCCCCACCACCTTTGTTGAATGCTAACGAACAAGTTAAAATAGTATCTTAAGGTATTTTCTTACTGGACAAAAGTTGGACAAATGTGTTCCCCTTTTCTTTAGTTGCTTTTGTGGATCAATTTAACCCACAACAAAAGTGCAAACACGTTGATTCCTAAGGGAAAAAAGGTAGATACTCACACATATTTCAGCCAGGGTGTCCAGTGAGGGAAAAATAAATTCATAAATCAGGCACATGGCAGACTAAAAACAACTATCAGACCTCAAAGACAAAAGAAGAAATGCTCCATCTCAAAGTGAGATCATATGGATATCATATCCGTGAGACCAGAAATGCTCTCCATTCGAATCGGATCATACAAAAATAGCTTCCACTCTTGCACATATTAGTGTTAATGTTGATAAATTACTTCCTTGTAAACGCATAAAGAAACGTGAGGATTTTTTTGTTCAGAGCACGCCTTCGTTTGTGGCATTTAAATATTGTGGCACTGTTTTGTTTTTGTTTGTTCGTTTTTTTATAAGTTGCCAAAAAAGCCAGTAGAAGGTTGTCAAGGAAACCAGAGGTGGCCAGAAACACAACTCTTTTAGGTTTGTTGGTAAATTGAATGTAAATTCCCACTCGGACGTTAAAAAAAATTGAAATTTAAAAAATTTGAAAAAAGATTGTGTCAATGCAATGTCCAAACGAATCCCCTCGTCAGACTAATGAGAGACACCTTGTGCTCCGGAGCGGGCAGCCAAAGAGGATCATCTGTTTCACGGTCTCCGCCGCAGCCTTCAGGACTCCCAACATAAGCCTACTCCCCTCTAGCATAAAGGGGAGCTTTTAAAAAAAAGAAAAAACAACAACAACAACAACAACAACAAAAAATACAAATAGAGGACTTCCACTTACCAGCAGCGCCGCCTGACAGATGAGGTTTTAATCCATGGAGGGACGCCGTGCCGAGCGGTGATGTTCCAACCAACTTCACGTCCGCCGGAGCGGACCTAATTCGGCGTGGGGAAACGACGAAATATGCCCGCGAGTCCAGACAGGGATGAGCCGCGAGCATCAACGCCAAAAAACAACGCAGCGCGGAGCGTCACGCGGGCCGACCTCTCCACTGTTCCAACACGCCCTGACACTGGCTTGAATTTGCCAGGGACATAGCGGTTTTCACTGAAAGAAAGCGCCTTCGCTCGCCCCAAGTGCTGGACGCATGCGCACGAGGGCACGCGCGCGCGGGTGGTCGCAGAGAGGGTAGGCTGTGTGTGACCCACATGCCTGTACAGGAGGGGATGACAGCGAAGCAGGCCGTGTCGGTGGCAGGTTCTTAAGAGGATTGGCGCGTTGGTGTATCTGTGACTGGACATTTTGTCCATCTGCATAGTCTTTGCTGCTCTTACCAATTTTCGCTTGAATCAAAATGAAAGGGAGCAGAAGTCACATGAAAACTTCTTTAACTTTAGCCAAAATACGCTGTTTATAAGCTTTGCTTATATTGAAGGCACTTTAATATTAAATGTTCAGCTCTGTACCTTGGATACAAAATATCACCATGTGTTCATAACTTTCTTGTTATATCATTAATTTTGATATATCGCCTAAGAAATATAACAAACATAAGATGTAAACTGAGATAAATGTAGTAGGCTTAGGCGTTCTTCTTCTTTTTTCTTTTAAAATGGTGCCAAAAAATGGGAATAATGATTCCCATTTAGATTTAAATTTAGATTTAAAAAACATAAAGGCATAAAGAAGCATGTAATTAAAGAATTTAATTCTAAATTGAATATGTCTGCCTTTTTTTCTCTTTATTAATTTCTAGTAAACATCAATAGTTCTAGAAGGGCAATCCAAAGTCGTACATTGGATATTGTTGTCTGTTAACATTGTTTATAATTGTTTTGTTTTTGAGTGTTGGTCTTTTGTTCTCACATTAACATCAGGCATTCTCTCTAAGGCCAATTCTTTTTTCTTTTTTTTCCGTTTATCAGGTTTGTACATTTAGGTTTTTCTTTTTTAAACACGCACTGCATGTTTGCTGGGTAATGCATAGTTTTCAAGTCCTAGCATCCATCTGCCTACGTCGCTCATTCCTCAGTGGGTCACGTGGGGATTCTGGACATTGGGTAAAAGGCGGGTCACACTGGACAGGTCGCCACTTTCAAGTTATGCATCTTGCAGAATTAACAAAAGTGAGATCAGCTGTCATAAACAAATTAGATGTCCTTGGGAGGCCACCAGTAGAAAGTAATAAAAGATTTCTCATCACCACTATTTTTTTTCATTTTAATGTTTAGCTTGAACTGTGATACCACTGTACCAGTCAGTTAAAGAAATAAACCCCATAAAAGTACAAATGCTTGGAACATGTACTTAAGTGCCAGGTTTGGGTGAATCTGTTCTATACTCAGATCATGTTATTTGGATCAAATCATTTCAGCGGCGTGATTAAATAAGCAATCCTCTTTTCCCATCCCACAGAGCGCATTTAAAAGTCTCACACAGGGCCTCATGCCAGCAGTCGGCTTGATTTATCACCAACTCCTTTCTGTCACATCTGTTTCTTGACAGCTGTACACCTGTTTTAAAGGGAGAGGTCTTGACTGGCACAGATTCCTAAAACCGTTCATTCCTCACAGAAACCGGAGGGGGACAAGTTCATTTTCAGGTGTTTTTTAATCACGACAGAGGGCTGGCTTAATTTTATCTCCTTCTTTCCCTTTTGTTTATCAAATTTATGGCAGTGGTTATATTTCAACCATGATGAACCTTGTTCCACCCAGATCCAGACACATCCAAATGCCTTGGTTGTGTAAATATGGGGGCTGTAACTGATAGCGCAGAAATGCACAGGTTACTGAACGCTCTCCGTGTCACAGACCCCGTTGAGATAATTTCGAGCCATCCGTCCACACATACAACTTGCTTTCTACATCTGGACCCTGCAGCCGTTGTGAAGATGTAAAAATCCAACTGAAGGACAGCCACAGTTAGAGCACCTGTCAGTTTTGAAGCTCCACAATGAAGATGATTCATGGGTGAAACAACACATCTACAATCTGTGTGGATTTTTGTTTATCTGTGGTTTTCTTTCTTTTTTTCTCATGTTGGACTCTGAGCATCTTATTAATAAGATTATTCTTCTTATTTATTTGCCAGTGACAGGACTCTTTTCAAAACTGCAAATCTGAAGATTAAACACTGAACAAACGTTTGCCTTTTCCCAAACCAAGGGCGGTGTCAGGGTTCTGTAAACATTCTGAGTTAGACCATCGCTGCATTACAAGACCAAAAATTCCACTGCAGCATTTAATTATCATAATTCATGTCGGAGCTATCATACAGTGGATTCTGTTTAGTGTTTTGACAATGAGAACAGATCTTTTTTTTAAATGCCAATGTTATCATATTTTAGGCTTCTTACTATGAACAAGCTGTTGCCAAAAAGTGAAATCTGAAAAGAACATGCTGTATTTGATGGGTCCTAACAAGTGAGAATCTAGGGGTTTTATTTTCCATCCATTATCAATACCGCTTATTCCCTGATGGGGTCGCGGGGGGAACTGGAGCCTATCCCAGTGGTCAACAGGCGAGAGGCAGGGTACACCCTGGACAGTCCGCCAGTCCATCGCAGGGCCACACAGAGACACACAAGGACAAACAACCACTCACATTCACTCCTAAGGGCAATTTCCCCAATCTCCAATCAGCCTAACATGCAGGTTTTTGGACTGTGGGAGGAAGCCGGAGGACCCGGAGAGAACCCACACAGACACAGGGAGAACATGCAAACTCCACCCAGAAAGGTCCTGGTTCCCCCGGGATTCGAACCCAGAACCCTCTTGCTCCTCTTGCTGGGAGGCGACAGTGCTAACCACCACACCACCGTGCCGCCCTGGGTTTTATTTTCCCATTTAGTAAATAAATAACTTCTTTTTTTTTAAAGCAGAATTTGCCTTCTGCATTGAATGAATCCATGAATGAAAAATGTGTTAAGTACACTTCTGCAATTTAAATGTAACTTTTAAATTCTTTTCAGTCATGAGCAGCTTTTGATATGTGCTTTTGACTTGAACTTGATCTTGAACTTGGTGGCTGTTTACGGTGTTACCTGGAATTCAGGAACTCAAGCCAAGTCAAATAAACATTTACAGCATCAAAGCCTGCCAACCCAATGGTCTTTCTCACCTTATCATGTCATCATTTTGTGAGCTTTATGAGACCTGAGAAAAAAATCAACTGTCATTAATACCGACACAATCTTCTTTTTTTTTGTATGCGTTTGTTTTGATTTTTGGGGAGACTTTTGAGAATCCTTCCCATGCACTGTAATCTAATTCAGGTGAACATAAATCTAACTTAATCTGGTTGTTCCTGACTGCAAAGTCTTAAAGATAGAGGAAAGCTAAACACATGATTGAGAATGAATCTCAAAAAATATTGCACGGCAGCTCATCTAGGAAGAAAAAAGTAACGCAAGGGATGTGATTGAAAACTGTTTGTTTACATTGACATAGTTGTTAATTTCATTGTATTTCATTGTATTCTTACTTTAAATATATATGTATGTATACATATATGTACATATGCAAGATATTCAAGATTTCTCTTTTTATTTGGTACTCATATAATTTTTCTTTTTTGTCTTTATTTATTATTTTAACCGTTTATGTGTCCATTTGCTAATTCATTGTTAAGAATAACAATTGTTGAAACAAAAGTTAACAACAGGCACACTTGATCAAAACTCCAAAAATTAACACATAGCCTACGTCAAAAACAGAAAACGTCATGGGGATTTGGAAAAAGAAGTATAGTGAGCATCATCCCACTATTAGATATGTGCAAGGATTGATAACAAGCTATAGCACGTAAAGCACTATGCAAAGTAGATGAAAAAGTCATTGAGACACATTTGGTACTGTATTTACTTGTTATTGCCTCACATTTTGATGTGAGCAGATGGTATGCGCTCATGTCATTTAATCGCAGACATGCAGGATGTAATCAGAACTTTGAAGATGTAGACGTGAGTTGAAAGGAGGAAGTTGCCATTTTGCAGATGTTATCACCTTAAAAACAAAAAGCAAGCATGTTGGTTTTGTGGATGGTATGAGGCCCACACGAACAACCACAAGACATGAAGAAACTGGCAAAACAAATAAAAATGATTCCCATTTGTAACCCTGACCTTAAGCCATGAAACGAAGGCAGGAATCAGGCAGCAGTTGTGTGTAGTTTTTAGAAACTGTATTTTAGCACATTTTAGCAGCAGCATGCGGATGCAGAGATTTGCAACTGCATGCTAAGCGGAGGCAGCCTTGGATTGTTGGCCCTTCCAGGAAAGGCGTGCCGGTGCTGACTGGGTTGTTACTGTGCACAGCAGGAAGCTGAGCATGTGTCATCTCTTCTGTTTTTGAAGAACGCTGGGGTGAGGTGCCAACGAACTCATCTTATTCATCAGATCCCTGTAGCGTGTTTTAAGCTTCACGCCGTGGTGGAGACTGTCGTAGATCATACCTTTTCTATGATGAGATAGGCAGGTTAGCTGCTTTGGCACAGGTGCTTTGCCTCCCTCTTTTGTAAGGCAACGGGACAGAAAACCATCGCTGTCAGACCTTGTTAGACATGTGGTCACGGATCTGGGACAAAGTTTTTACACATTTTTTACAGGCTGCGATTAAACACTCCAGACTGCTGAAATATATTCATCATACTGAAGTTGATATGGCTCACAACTAATAACCATTTACATTTTTGTCAGGAATTGTCAGGTCACAAGAGATACAGTGTAATTTCTAAATATATTTTCACATATTAGGGTGTATGTTGTAATATTTTATATCTCATGGTGAGATGACATAATCTGATATACCCTACACTGCTTACATTTCATATCTATTAGTGAGGTTATTTTGACTGTTAACATGTACATCCACAGATAAAAAGAAAAGCCCCCCCCTGCATCTTAAAAGGCACCATATCAGTCATCCCACGCACACTCCACTGCTGCTCTCGGCCTCAGGCATGCAGTCATGTGAAAGCGACTCTATTCTTGGGACAAGTTTTGCTCACAACCCACTGACTCATTGTCATTTCCTTCTCATTTTATAAAGATTTCCCCAGTTTGCTCTTGGGCTTTTAATAGGTCCTCGGTGCCAGATATTGCACATGAAAACATGTGTTTGGCATGACAAATTAAAAAAAACATTCCCTGGTACAGTATTTTCATAAAGTCTAAGTAAAGTCACTTACAACAGCAATCGTCCTCAATAATGAGAAGTGAGTAAGGGGCTAGTGGTTACTGTCCAGTAAGACTGATTATTGCTGATTTTAAAGTCACATTCAACCTGCTTTTAAGTCATTTCAAATGCAAGGATTCATGATACCTTTGGTGGTGAAGATTTTTTTAGATTGAAATTACCTATCATGTTGGTTCACTACAACGTTATGATGAGCCTTTGATGAATGTGTTCCTTTAATAGATATCTGCTTTTGTTTTAAAGGGGTTAAAGTGATAGCATAAATATAAACTGTCACTTATTGGAAGAAAACACAGCCATAAAATTGGAAAATAAATAAATAAAACACATTTAATGTGCAATTCTAAAAAAAAAAGTTTAAAAAAAACAAACAAAAATTTAGTTAAAGAAACCTTCTCAGTATTTATAATATATTCCATGTTTAGTGTATAACCATTGATGTACAGTAAACCAGATGAATTAGGAAATAAATTATATTGAGTATGACAAGAAAAAACAAAACTATCATCAACTATCTGCCGACATCTTTCACTGACAGAAGAGGTTGATTCTAAGGACATTTATGTTCCTTAAAAGAGGAAAAAAGCCCTCTAAATGAAGTAGGAGGCGTTTGTGTTTAATTTCTTTCAGACTTTACTTTTCTTTCAATAGCATTAAAAGCTCATCTATCAGAGGGCTCCAGGAGCCACCTTAAGTTGGCGTGAGCCTGGAGGAAGGGTGCCTCGCATTCACACCGGTGCACAGGTGCAATTCAGCCAGAGGGCAAGTTGTCAGAATTATTAATATCACCAGAAATGAGGCTGTATTTGAGCTGTATTTAGTCCAAATTAAAGCATGACATCTCTCTTCAGCCATGACCTCGACAGCCAGGTTTAGGGAGAACATGTAAATGTTGAACGTAGGCTTATAGCTTCATCATTAGGGGGGATTTCCAGTTTTAAAGAGCACATGTGGTATTTCTCTGGAGCTTATGCAGGAAATAACACCCCCTGCTGCCGTGCGGAGGCACAGGTCGACAAAACCCAGTGCCGGTGGCACACAAAGAGGTCTCATAAAATCACTACAGCTTAGACTTCGCCTCAAGTCCCCGCATGGAGCTGCGAAAAGATCTGCAAGGAGGGTTCAGTCAAAAGAACCATTGTGTTTTCTATGCGGAGCCTGTCGGACTCCGCCACGTTTAATCAATTGTGGTCGCAGCAAATACCACCGGATCTTTGATCTGTCGTCCGCGTCTCCTCCTGAGGAGAAGGAGTCCCCGCGGGGTCACAGTGGGACTGTTTTCCTTCTTGCGAACTGCCTCCTTTTAAACATCCGTTCGAGCTGCCAGAGTTTCCAAGTAGTTCCATTTCTTTTTTGACCAGGTTCTCCAGGTCTGGTGAGGAAAAGGAGAAGAAAACAAAATTAGAGGAAGGAGTGTTTTTCCTCCAAGAATGTTGAAACTCACTCCCCGTGGGATCTCCTTATTTTCCAAGTCTGAATTTACATCAACTCGCAAACGTGTTTTCGTCACTTACACAGGAACACGGTTTTGCTGACCATGCTGTAACCGTTTTTGTTCTTGCTCAGATCAATGTAGTAGTAGAACTTTAATTCTTGAGGGTACTGCGAGTGCAAGAGATCCCGGAGCATGGGGATCGTCCTGTTGGACATGGGCCCTTCAGCCAGAGCCTGATGCATCATGTAATTGCACCAACCGTCCTGCACAAAGCTGGGAGTGATGAGGAAAGCCCGTAGGTGGCTGTCCTCCACAGCCTGGCAGAACTCCGCCGGGATAGCGCTTCCTGGACAGGAGTCCCTCTGCCACAGGAAACACCTGAGGCTGCGGGGCGCGGCCTCCAGGTACAGGACCAGGCGGGCGGCCTCCTCCATGTCGCTGTGGTCGGAGCTGTGGCACACCAACACGTCATATTTCCTTCTCCATCTCAGCTCGGAGCTCAGGACCGCTTGTGTCTGTCGGGCTATCGACGGGGAGGAACTCAGGTGCGATGATGCAGACGAAGGCGCCGCAGGGGTCCGGGTTATTCCGCCCTCTCTCTCGGATTGCACTGGCGAGCTTTCTCTTGATTTTAGAAGCTTTCGGAACCACGCTGAAAGTTAAGGGACAAACATGGTGTTAGTCTTCCCTGACCAGAGATTATTTCACAACCAGAGTTACTTTTTTTATCTCTGTGGGAAAATGGTGCAAGAATGTGGAAGTTAGAAATGTAGATACGATTCTAGTTCTGACAAACGTACTGGACAACCAGACTGAAAAGGGTGAGTACTTTCTTAAGTGGAGCATTTGTAAATCCTTGAGCTTTCTCTCTGCAGATAAATATGAGAATTTGGCTGTGGAGAGCAACGAGAATTCAAGTCTAGCTTCCTGTTCTTAACCCAACAAAAATACAAATCCCTGAATCATCTCAAATCTAACTACAAGGCGTGACGTAA